TTGACTACATTCCTGATTGGATACATGCAGACATTGTAAATGCTAAGAAGCAGGGAGAATTGGTGAGCGTTGTCCTATGAATTACGAGATTCCCGCTGAGTTTGTGGTATCTAGGCTGCGCAATCTGGCGAAAGTAGCTTGGTGGATGGTGGAGCGATAGATGTATCACACACAGAAGAGGTAGCACAAGGAGTCTCACCCAGAAAGGTATGATCATCTACTCTGTCTTTTGCTCTTTTTTTTCTTCTGTATCCTTCTTTAATTGGAGATGGACACTATCATCAAAAGCACTATTGTAGAGTATGCGACAGTTTCCCCCAGTACCAGGAGGTCATCAATTACGTGAGGATGCCGTATGGAAGTGTGCAAAAGAAGCGTTTGATGCGAGTGATAACGATGCAGTTTTTGATGCCATCTGGAGGATGCTTTTGGATAAAAATGAAGCTCGTTTGCTGCAGAATATCAAATCGGTGAGAATCTCATTTTGAAAGTTGCAGTGTATTTGGAAATGATGAGTGCTCAAAGGTCACCCAATATTTGTTTGCAAAGTATTTATATCTGTTTGTGACTCACAACCATGTTTTTGCAGAAGATGGTTTGCTGATCTATGTCCATTTACAGGACTTTGGCATCGAAATCATTGCTGATCACCACCCCATCATGGTCGAGGGAGAACCCATGGAAGCCATGGTCGTGACCGAAGAAGGCCTAGTTCCTGCAGAAATCGTTGATGAACGTTTGATCCCTGAGGGCGCAACCATAGAGAATGTGGAAATCGTCGAGGAGAATGTTGTAATCGAAGAGGAACAACAACAGGAAGGAGAATCGTCAGAGACGGTGGAAGAACATGTGGTAGAAGAGCAAGTAGTCGATGAAAATATGGTGGAGGAACATGTCGTGGAGGAACACACGGAAACGCATGAGGAACAGCAAGAAGAAGATGACCATCCTACGGGTAATATTGTTGCGGTTTGCAGGAGGTTGGAGGCGGCGGAGGCTAAGGGGA